TGCTGCTGAAAAACAGCCCCACAGCATGAGGCTGCTACCAGCACACTTTACTTTTGGGGTGGTACTCTTCAGGTGATGAGCGGAGCTGGTTTCCTTCAAACATGATGCTTGGAATTGAGCTTCATCAGACCAGAGACACTTGTTTCTCACAGTCTGAGGGTCCTTTAGGTGCTGTTTTGCAAATTCCAAGTGTGTTTTCATGCGTCTTCACTGAAGAGAAGATTGAGTTTGGCCACACCACAAGTGTTGCAGCGATGTTTGTCCTTCTGTAGATTTCTCCTATCTCCACATATGATCATGGAGCTCAACTAGAGTGACCATCAGGTTCTTGGTCACCACTCTAACCAAAGCCCTTCTCCATCAATTGCTCAGTTTGGCCAGGAGGACAGCTCTAGGAAGAGTCCTGGTTGTTTCAAACTTCTTCCATTAAGGGTAACAGAGACTACATGCTTCTGTGAACCTTCGAAGAAGCAGATTTTTTTTCTGAACTTTTCCCCAGATGTGTGGCTTGACACAAACCTGTTTCTGAGCTCTACAGACAGTTCTTTTGACCTCAGGGCTTGGTTTTTGCTCTGATATGCATTTTCAGCTGTTAGACCTTTTATTAAGATGTGTGTGCCTTTCCAAATCATACCCATTCAATTGAATTTGCCACAGGTTAACTTCACTCGAAGTGTAGTAATATCTACAAGCAAAATGAATGCTCCTGAGCTAAATTTCAACTGTCCCAGATACTTATGCAATGGAATCATTTTAGTTTTTTATTTTTAATAAATTTGCAACGATATTAAAAACCTGTTTTTTTGCTTGAGAATTATGGTGTATGGAGTGTAGATTGTTGTGAGAAAAAACTAATTTAAAGCAGTTTAACATAAGGCAGCAACAAAACAAAATGTGAAAAAAATTAAGGGGTATGAATACATTTGCAAGGCACTGTATATAAGTATGCATATGTGTGTATCTGTATATTTATAATTGTTATTAAGTAGTTTACAATAGTAGTTTACAATAGTGAACGCAAAAGAAATCCAGAGCATGTATTTACAGTTTCTAAATGAAAGATAAGGAAAAAATTATCTTAATTTCTCATTTAAATGCACCAGTAAAATAAAACTGATCGAGCAGTAATGTTTACCTATACAACAAATTTCACTATATTTTTTATAAACATAAAATATTTTAAGGTACTTTACCATTTAAATGGGATCAGTAAGGTTTTTTTTCTGAAAGAAATTAATACTTTTATTTAGCAAGGATGCATTAAGTTGATCAAAAGTGAGAGTAAAGATATTTATAATGTTACAAATTATTTCTAATGCAAAAAAGTGCTTTCGAGTGCAAAAAAGAACCTTCTAATCACCAATGAATCCTGAAATAATAATGCATTACGAATTCCACAAAAATATTAAGCGGAACTGTTTTTAACATTGATAATAATAATAACCATAACAAAAATAAATCTAATTCTAAAGCATATCAAAATAAAATATATTATTGTTAACTGTATTCATATTTCACAATTACAATATTTTAATCAAATTAATGCATCCTTGGTGAACATAAGAGAGTTCTTTCCAAAACAGTCATAAATCTTACAAACTTCAATTTTTTGAATGGTAGTGTATGTAAAATGCCACATTGGGGATTTCCGATATAACATTTCAGAATGACAATATAAATGAACCACTGAATTGATTAATTTAATTAAGCCAGTTGATGGCCAAATTAAAATCTCTGTGGCATTCAATTCTGTGGCAGCGAAACCGTCGTAAATATGTTGTGAATATCTGATATACCTGTCCAGGTTGGGCCCATCCTCTTAGATTTCTCTCCCCTCCCACCTATTACCCCCGCTTCTTCCATCCCTCCCTCCCTCCTCGTGCTGTGCTGTTGGCTAGCTGTGGCTCTGAGGAGCAATGCCAGAGCAGTCAGTCACCAGCAGCCCAACTGTGACTGGAAGGCTGGAAACAGGAGTGGCTATGCCCACGGTCGCCACTGAACTGCTGCTGCTGCTGATGCTGATGGGGCAAGGAACACTGGGGTCCGTCTGGTTTGCGTGCGTGGCCATGTGACCCTGCAGCTGTGTGGGTGTCTTGCAGTGTACCCCGCACAGCTGGCATAACAGCACCCCGCCTGGACCTGAGCCACGGCCGACCCCACTGTCCTTCCACTCTTGCCCATGGTGCTTCTGAGCATGGACACGCAGGTACGTCAGTGTGGTGAAACCTATGACGAAAAAGAATGATTTTTATGAAAAGCCTTATTGTTTTCTTGTCACTTTCTTAGAGCTGTAAATTATTCAGGGAACTGTCTAACGTGATACATTAGTAAAATCCTCAATTTAAAACTTGACAACAGGTCCCAAAATATGCAGTTCAACTGTTATTTGTTTAAAATCCCATGATATGGAATTGAAAATTTGTGAATCTTTTATATTATTTTTTAAAAGTGATTTGGGACTACAGTGGTTGCAGGGTATGTTTTTGATTTACTAAAAAGAATCAGCTCATTAGAATAATTTGTTTGTAAATGGAATCATCCTGAAAGAGTAAGAAGTCAAATGAAAACATAGCAATGTTTCCTTCACCATTATTCAGTGATGCTGCTCAGTCTACAGATACACAGTAAAAGATTAATAATTAATTAACATAAGTTATAGTCTGAAATAAATGTGATGAGGTGAGACAATAAATAGTCGACATGGGTTTTTGAGATGTCACTGGCTGCATGCAAAAACATAGCACAACGAGAATAATCCAATTCTCATTTTTATTTAGTCATTTCTTTAGTGACTCATTTGAAAGGACTCACTAAAATGATTGGTTTGAATGAAAAGAATTCTAACAAATTATTTGCCATATTCGTCAGAGCTGTTGTTGAATTTTTATCTTACTTCTGATATCTGTTTACACTGCTGTTCAAAATTTGTAGTTAGTAAGATGTTTTTTTCTTTCTTTCTTTCTTTCTTTCTTTCACTAGGAAACAATAAATTGATCAAAATGTATTAGTTTCCACAAAAATATCAAAGAAACACACATATATAATAAAGTACAACTGTTTGCAATATTGCTTTCAATAATAAATGTTTCTTGCGCAGCAAATCAGCATATTAGAGTGTTTGAAGTATCATGTGACACTGAAGACTGGAGTAATGATGCTGAAAATTCAGCTTTGCATCACAGAAATAAATGACATTTTACAATATATTTAAACAGAAAACAGTTATTTTAAATTGTTATAATATTTCACATTATTACCATTTTTACTAAACTGATAAACTAACTGATTAAATAAATGCAGCCTTGGTAAATAGATTAAAAAAGGGTAAAAGATGATCAAAAGAATAGCTATGCTTTTCAAAGCACAAATGAAATACTCAATGATACTCACTGCGGTTGCAGAGGTGACAGACGTGATGCTGTGATTGGTTATGGACCCTCATGTGATCTGTGATGTAAGCAGGGGAGAGAAGTTTGCCACAGATGTGGCAGGGAACCTTGTCCTCGTGTCTGATCATATGAGCTCGTAAGCGGTCTTTCGTAGCGAATGCGGATTCGCATGTCTGCACAAATAAACAACACGGTTCATCAAACATTCTCTTTCTATTCCGATCTGCCTTCAACATGACTCATCCTAGTCTCACACATATGGCTGCAGCCCACATACACGTACATCCCCACACATATGACCACAAAAGCACATACAAGAACACGTAATTCACTGTAAGAAAGGTTTAATAAAGAGCCAAAACACACAACGCAGAATGATTTACAAGAATATTCAGGACTATATTCTAGGTATTGACTGTAGTAGTATTATGCAGTTGATTATCATAGAAAATAATACTTTTTTTAATAAAAGTCATACATGGGTCCGTAAAGACAAAGGAAAACATATAGACTACTGTTCAAAGCTTTGGGGTTGGTAAGATTTTTTATAGTTTCTGAAAGAAGTTTCTTATACTTATCAAGGCTGCATTTATATTTGATCAAAATAGTAAGACTGTGAAATATTATTACTATTTACAATAACAGTTTTAATATATTTGAAAATGCAATTTATTCCTGTGGTGGCAAAGCTGAATTTCCAGCATCATTTCTCCAGTCTTCAGTGTCACATGATCCTTCAGAAATCATTCTAATATGCTGATTTGATGCTCAAAAAACATTTTTTATTATTCTGTGATGAATGGAAAGTTAATGTATCCATGCTGAATAAAAGTAATTAAATATGTTTAGTTAAAAATTACTTTACCTCAAACGTTTGAGCAGTAGTATGTATACTATAGCAAAAAAATTAATATTAAAAAAATGTTGGTCTTTTTTTCCAATAAAGGCTGCCATTTTTAATCATGTATATTTGCTAAAGTATAATTTCAAGCAGATGGCCACAAAGCTAATAAAAATGAATAATACAAATAAAAAAGTTGGAAAAAGTATTTACATGCATGCATTTTTCAACAGAATTTTTTTATATTTGAGCTTTAACGTCTAAATGATTGTTATGAATGCTTTGCCTTGGTTTATAAGGTCAAATTATTCTGATATCTGTTTACACTGCTGTTCAAAATTTGTAGTTAGTAAGATGTTTTTTTCTTTCTTTCTTTCTTTCTTTCTTTCACTAGGAAACAATAAATTGATCAAAATGTATTAGTTTCCACAAAAATATCAAAGAAACACACATATATAATAAAGTACAACTGTTTGCAATATTGCTTTCAATAATAAATGTTTCTTGCGCAGCAAATCAGCATATTAGAGTGTTTGAAGTATCATGTGACACTGAAGACTGGAGTAATGATGCTGAAAATTCAGCTTTGCATCACAGAAATAAATGACATTTTACAATATATTTAAACAGAAAACAGTTATTTTAAATTGTTATAATATTTCACATTATTACCATTTTTACTAAACTGATAAACTAACTGATTAAATAAATGCAGCCTTGGTAAATAGATTAAAAAAGGGTAAAAGATGATCAAAAGAATAGCTATGCTTTTCAAAGCACAAATGAAATACTCAATGATACTCACTGCGGTTGCAGAGGTGACAGACGTGATGCTGTGATTGGTTATGGACCCTCATGTGATCTGTGATGTAAGCAGGGGAGAGAAGTTTGCCACAGATGTGGCAGGGAACCTTGTCCTCGTGTCTGATCATATGAGCTCGTAAGCGGTCTTTCGTAGCGAATGCGGATTCGCATGTCTGCACAAATAAACAACACGGTTCATCAAACATTCTCTTTCTATTCCGATCTGCCTTCAACATGACTCATCCTAGTCTCACACATATGGCTGCAGCCCACATACACGTACATCCCCACACATATGACCACAAAAGCACATACAAGAACACGTAATTCACTGTAAGAAAGGTTTAATAAAGAGCCAAAACACACAACGCAGAATGATTTACAAGAATATTCAGGACTATATTCTAGGTATTGACTGTAGTAGTATTATGCAGTTGATTATCATAGAAAATAATACTTTTTTTAATAAAAGTCATACATGGGTCCGTAAAGACAAAGGAAAACATATAGACTACTGTTCAAAGCTTTGGGGTTGGTAAGATTTTTTATAGTTTCTGAAAGAAGTTTCTTATACTTATCAAGGCTGCATTTATATTTGATCAAAATAGTAAGACTGTGAAATATTATTACTATTTACAATAACAGTTTTAATATATTTGAAAATGCAATTTATTCCTGTGGTGGCAAAGCTGAATTTCCAGCATAATTTCTCCAGTCTTCAGTGTCACATGATCCTTCAGAAATCATTCTAATATGCTGATTTGATGCTCAAAAAACATTTTTTATTATTCTGTGATGAATGGAAAGTTAATGTATCCATGCTGAATAAAAGTAATTAAATATGTTTAGTTAAAAATTACTTTACCTCAAACGTTTGAGCAGTAGTATGTATACTATAGCAAAAAAATTAATATTAAAAAAATGTTGGTCTTTTTTTCCAATAAAGGCTGCCATTTTTAATCATGTATATTTGCTAAAGTATAATTTCAAGCAGATGGCCACAAAGCTAATAAAAATGAATAATACAAATAAAAAAGTTGGAAAAAGTATTTACATGCATGCATTTTTCAACAGAATTTTTTTATATTTGAGCTTTAACGTCTAAATGATTGTTATGAATGCTTTGCCTTGGTTTATAAGGTCAAATTATTCCCAATGGTAATCAATGACACATCAAATCACACAGAGCATGCAGGAAAAACTAGCATTAATGATAAATGAGAAAGAAAACTGGGGGAGTTTACAGAGAAACTAGAAGAGTATGATTACCGGACATTTGAAGGGTCTCTCTGTGGAGTGCACCTGTCGCACATGACTGTTAAGATGGTCAGGCCTGGAGAAGACAGAGAGAGGGCTCAAACAACAAACACAATACGTACAAAAACACAATAATTAGCAAGGGCCCTTGTGCATTTCTTTGCTGCACACCATCTCCTTGTGAACTAGAGAAGGGTCAACACAGATCTGCCTCTGTCTGTAGCATCAAGGCTCCTTTAAAACAGCAGGACACGGTTTTGTACAGTTGTTTTTCGATAATTATGTGCTTCTATTCATTTAGGAGATGCTTTTACACAAACTATGTATTTATTATAACATTTTAAATATCTGTACTGTCACTTTTGATCAACTTAAAGGGTTAGTTCACCCAAAAATGAAAATTCTGTCATTAATTACTCACCCTCGTGTTGTTCCAAACCCATAAGACCTTCGTTCATTTTCGTTACACATGACGTGTGACATCAGTGGTTCAACTGTAAAGTTACAAAGCTACGAGAATACTTTTTTGCGCAAAGAAAACAAAAATAACAACTTTTTTCCACATTTGCTTCTTCTTCTTCTCTTAGTTAATGGTGGATTGCAAACAACTTTTAGGTGCATACCGCCACCTACTGTACAAGAGTGTGTAACATCATGTAATTTTAAGTGTACTCAAAATCTGCTCATTAACCCTGTATCATTAAGGAATTTTATTCCACATTTTCGTCTCTACTGCGTCACTTGTGGACGAGTATCATGTGGTCGAGTATCATGACGCGAGCGTGTGGCGGCGCCGGCGCTGACCCAGATCTGGCGTAATGACACACGGACTACTTTGTCGATCATCTTGGTACTTTTCTGG